GTCTCTTTAGGTTTCCTGGATGAGGATCTCGGTTTTAGCTTTACCGATGGTTAAAACACTGAGTGGTATGACTGAGCGTCGCAAACAATGGCGCTGGTGCATTTTCCGAGTCTCTTCTGAACCGTTAGAATTCTCTATTTTCACCCTGACACTTCTTTCAACATTCCAATCTTCTCTCTACTGTTAGCTGTTGTAGTTTTTAAATGGATTCTTTTGTTCGTCACTTATTACTTTCATTTACTGAATGGATAGCACTAGGAGAAAAGTAAGCTCAAATGTCCGTGCGCATTCTTTGTTGTACTGTTTTATGCAACCACTTATGCTTAGATTTCACTCATTATGTGTTTCCTGGTAATTTGGATTAGAAGCCGACAAAGTTTTTTAAAGGTATTTCTTAAACTCATCTGTTACCTAACTTAGTCAGTTTCTTACCCTGGTTAATCGTAGTGAGACCTCTATATTCGTGTTACTCATTGTAAATGATCTTGTATTAATCATCCTTGTTTTACAAATTCTCCATTACAAACAAAACGCTTTGTTCTACCTTGTTTGATTCACTCGACAGTTCTGGCGTATTCGTGATGGATGCCTGCTGTTGGATTTGAGCGCTCATTCTTCTTGGGTCACTGCGATTCGACTCCTCCCACTGGATGTAAGTGACTCAGACGAGGATTATGTGAACATCAACAGTCTGCCGATCGGTTTACTGACAGCCTCATCCGATGGAGTGATCAAACGATGGGAGGTCGGTGCTGCTTGTCTTCCATCTCCTACCACGCCCACTCCAATGGGTATTCCCAGTCTGGGTGACGCACATTTGAGACGAATCTCCCAGCAATCTGTGTTCAGCAATCGCTCCAATGACAAATCGACTGCGGTACACGGTCTGTGGACAGATGTGTTCGACGTGTGGTTTGGTCCGCACGCCTCGTTGCTGGTTGTTGGACGTCGGCGTCACTCGTCTGATCTCCAAGTATGTAAATTACATGTATTCCGTTCGCTTTCCACGTCATTTTTTCTGACTTGTCCATGCGTCGTAAACGACTTTCATTATCCAAAGATCTTTCCTACGTATCTCAACTGAGTAGATATTAACAGCCAAAGTCTCGTAGCAAAGAGCCACACAATCTTTGGACATTCACCTAGTCTATTGAAGGCAGCCCACACAAATTTGTGTGCGCGACATATTGAGTGAGTCATATCGAGCTAGTTGCTCCCATAATGCAATGGTGTCACGCACCTACACACTGACGAGTATATGCATCTATCTGGTTTTGTTGTTACTCATGCTATAAATTAGAGCTATCATGATTACTGTTAACCAAATTTTTCCGTGTACCAGTGCGATCTTATTGTCGGTTGGGCTGCATCTGTTTTTTTATCGTGGCAGAGCTGATGAACTTTTCGAACATACGGGTCATAGGTTGCCGAAGTTTAGAATATCCTCCTGACCATATGACTCAGTTCGTCACCCTCGAGCTTATGAAGAAGAACTGTTCATACC